CAGGGTGCATTGTGGTTTTTCCTCTTTTCTGTTTTTTCTTTTTTCTTTGTATAATAGATCAGTGTTTGGTCCCCGGTCCAAATAGCTCTTGTAAGAACTTTGGAGTGATTGTCGTCATATCGACAACGCATCGGACTGGAAACATGGCTTGTATACATTCATGATTACCAGGGTGCATTGTGGTTTTTCCTCTTTTCTGTTTTTTCTTTGTATAATAAATCAGTGTTTGGTCCCCGGTTGGACCGGGGACCGCCCCCCATACCGGGGGCCAAGTCCCACTGACCCGAAATCTCAACTACTGACCGTAGGTTCGGAAGATCAACGCCCCGAATTAAAAATCAGAGTAAGTGGGACTTGGCCCCGGGACCCTTCCGGTTGGACCGGCCGGTCGCCCGGACCGGTTGGCCCCCGGTTACCCGCAGAACATTTTTGCTGGGCCCGGGGCTAGGTCCCACTTACACGAATTAAGCGATATTGACCGTAGATAGCAGAGATCAACGGCCAGAATCTCATAATCCGTGCTAGTGGGACCTTGGCCCCGGGATTTATTTCCCCTTTCTGCCTAAGTTGTTCTTTGGGGTTTGTAGACCCCACTACCGCTGAGAGAAACGCGGACTGGCCCCGGCCGGCAGGCCCGTCAATGGGCAAAAGAAAAAACAGCCAATCTTGGCCGCTGATCTTTATTGATAGGCGGCCAAGATCAGCTGCAATTGAATCTGGGATAAGGCGCTGTAGTTCAGCGCGACGGACTACTGCGCCCCGCGCCCCGCGCCCCGCGCTCCCCCGCGCCCCCCCGCGCCCAATTTTGTCCCCAGTGTTCCGCCCGTCGACCCGTTGCGGACTCGCTGCGCGAGTCCGCCATCGTCGTCGTTGAGTCGCCCGTGCCGCTGTCCGCCACGCGAGCCCGCCGTCGCTACTCCAGGTGTGTGTGTGTGTGTGTGTGTGTGTGTGTGTGTGTGAGAGAGAGAGAGAGAGTTGTGAGCCTCCTCCCTTCTTGTTCTTCTTCTTCGTCTTCTCCTCCTCTGCCACTACTCCTCCTTCCTCCTCTCCTATTCTCCATCATCATCATCGTCATCTCCTCCTCCTCCTCCTCCTCCTCCTCGTCCTCGTCCTCGTCCTCTCCTCCTCCTCCTCCTCCTCCTCCTCCTCCTCCTCTTCTTCTTCTTCTTCTTCTTCTTCTTCTCCGCCCCCGCTACTTCTCCTTCCTCCTCTCCTATTCTCCATCATCATCATCGTCATCTTCTCCTCCTCCCCTTCTCCTCCTCCTCCTCCTCCTCCTCGTCCTCTTCTTCTTCTTCTTCTTCTTCTTCTTCTTCTTCTTCTTCTTCTCCTCCTCCTCTTCTACCTCATCTCCTCTTTTATCCTTTCGTCGTACACTCTCCTTCTTTTTTTTTTTTTCCTCTTTCTTTTATCGAGGACAAGTCGAGCCCACCCGTCGACAGCAAGTCGACCCGCCCCGCTCCCCCCACGCCCGGCGTCATGACGCAAAGTTGCCAAACCCTCCCTCTCCTCCGCCTCCCACTCTTCTTCTCCTCTTTAGGGTCTTCTTCTTCTCCTCCTTCTTAGCGTCTTCTTCTTCTCCTCCTCTTCCTCTTCTTCTTCTCCTCTTCCTCATTCTCTTCATCTCCATCCTCCTCTCCTCTTCTTATCTTTTCCTCCTTGGTTCCCCTTCTTTTTTTTCTTTTTTCTTTTTGTTCAAAGAAAAGTGCGAAAACGTCGAACACTCCCCCACTCCTTTTCTCCTCAGCGTCTTCTTCGTCTTCTCCTCTTCCTTAGCGTCTTCTTCTTCTTCTCCACCTCCTCATCCTCCTCTCCTCTTCTTATCTTTTCCTCCTCTGCTCCCCTTTTTCTCCTCCTCAGGGTCGAACACCGCCACTATCCCTTCCCCCCCCCCCCTCTCCTCAGCGTCTTCTTCGTCTTCTCCTCTTCCTTAGTGTCTTCTTCTTCTTCTCCACCTCCTCATCCTCCTCTCCTCTCCTCTTCTTATCTTTTCCTCCTCTGCTCCCCTTTTTCTCCTCTGCTCCCCTTTTTCTCCTCCTGAGGGTCAAACACCGCCACTAACCCCCCCCCCCCCCGGTGGGATTAGGACTGTTCTTCTGGAGAGGGCAGTCGAACCCTGCTTTAAAAAAAAAACAACAAAAAAAGGGAAAATGTTCGGTATGCCCCTCTGACAATGATTGAAGTTTCACGAAAACCCCCGGAGTTGTTTGGGCCTGAAATATGTTCAAGATGCCCCTGCCGGTACCTGTTCCAAATTTCCAGTATGGCCCGGTAGATCCCCTCCCAGGGCCAGGGGAATGGCCGCAAGTGCCAGCAAAGGCCGCAGGGGCATGCAGGAAAGTTGCGCCCCTCACTTACAGGGGCCTGCAGGAAAGTTCAGAGGCATCAGGGCCACCACAGGGTAGGTCGGCCGTGGGAGGGGCACGTGGCAAATAAATCAAACTTTCAAGGGCATATAAAAAATTATCCCAAAAAAATAAATGGACTAATTTTGAGCCCAACCGGATTGGACGACCTGGGGCTATCCGGCCCGGTTGCATCCCTGAATATTATAGTAAACAGATGAATCTTTTCATTTTTTTTTCTTCTGTGGGAAGATGGATTCATTTCATTTTCCGTTCCGTGCGTCGTGAGACGAGACCCTTGACCTCGATTGATGGCTATTGATGGCTCCTTTATCCTTTATAACTGTGTGGGGCAACACCTGCTGGAACAGGGTCCAGTCTCCCTCTGTACAACTACCACGAACCAAGAACATTGATTGCCCTCCTTCAGCTTCCTTGGGGGAGTGACCCCTGGGATGATACTCAGACACCACTTTCAGCCACAGAAAAGAACAGAGAAGGACCTCTTCAGTCCACAGGCAGGCCACCAGATCCTACAGTCCCCCAAGTCCCATTCTGTCCCAGTCCCAGTCCCAGTCCCATAAGCAGAGCTTCACAGTTCGGCAGTCGCCCCCATGCCAAGGGAATTCCACCCGGGCTGCTACACGTGTACCGAGGAGCAACCGATATTGGTGGGAAGCAGCACCTGCTGGAAACTGGGTCCAGCATCTCATACACATCACACGACAGGGGGGCCATTTCTTTTTGGTTGAAAAGTTATAAAAACTCCCCGCGACGAAACCTTTGTATTAATTTCGCCCCCAATGGGGCCGAAAGTGCTGCAGGCCCAAAAAAAAGACTTTTGTCATCATTTTTCCACCCTGCAAAACACTTTCCCGCCATTTTGGCGTCATTTTTCCACCCTGTAAAACACTTTCCCGCCATTTTTGCACAGCGGCGCGGTACCGGCTCAGCCAGGGTGCAAAAATGACCCGAAAAATCACTTTTTGCCCCGTGGGGGGGGGAATGAATACAAAGGTTTCGTCCCGGGGAGGTTCAATAACTTTTCCCATTACTTTTTGGTTGAAAAACTCCTTTGCCAACACCCTGCTAACTGTGTTTTTTGTGAAAACCGTCTGCCGCTTGTTGTCTGTATGAAACGGACTTCACAATCTTGTTCTCTGCAGGTAGATTCCGATCTGACGTTTTTCCCCAAAAGAGAGGGGGTGTAGTAGCATACCCCTCTGTATTCCAGAATAGGAGGGAAGGGACTCAGAGAATGCCCATACTCTGAACACCGTGGGCATGCTACGCTACGTGTGCAGCAAGCTGTTTGGGCAGTGAGTTGTCGATGTTTGGATAACTTCGAGGGGTTATGGGAGAGCTGATTACAAAATGCATGCCATGTCAGTCTCCCTCGTAATCCAAGGGTGGTGGGTTGCTGCGCGTGACCGGAATGACCTATACGCGGCAGTCCAGCAGCACGGACGGAGAGGAAACAAGACAGTAAGGAGGGTGAAACAACCGAGGGGGAGCAGTCGAATGGGGAGCCAGAGGGAGGTAGCCATCGGTACCCGCTGTGCTGCTACCGGTAGTCATGGAATTGCCATGAGCTGAAGGTATGTTTCTGTGAGGGAAGAGCGAAGCGCATTGAACCTGTGAGACCTGTCAGACCTGTCAGACCTGCAGGCGTTTCAGGGAGTCGGGACGATTGTGAGCGTATGATGACTGGTTGAGGGATTCTGGTGTCCCGTGCAGACTTCTGCATGCCAATCTGAGTATTCTGCAAAATTTGCAGCAGCTCACTCGGCTGGTCCCTTGGGGCTGCCTTTTGACGCACACTCGGACTGTGCATGAAGCACGATGCATCACATCGGCACATCGGTTTCCAGCATGGCACGCAATGGCGTAGTCATGGCGTGTCGTCCCGGTACCGGCAGTGGTACGATGATGGCATCACTCAGGCAAGTCGTCTTACGAAGGCTTCCGAGAGTGCGCGGAAACCTTTGTTGCCCAGAGACGACGCGTGCGGCGGAGCCACATGTGGCATTTCCCTGCGCTCAATCGCGCATCAGTCTGCGCACCCGCACGGCGAACACCTGCATGCACGACTTGTCTTTGGGCAGGCGCGCAAGGTCCCGACTGTTGTACACCGCAAACAAAGCCATAGCAGACACCATAGCCGACCGCACTGCGACCGGGGTTGATGATGGTGTATCGACACCGGAAGAAGGAACTCGGGAAGCCAAGGATGTGGTCCAAACAACGGTCCCGACATTCCAGCAGGCAATTCAGCGGCTCCAGGACTACTGGGCCTCAGTCGGGTGTGCAGTGGTACAGCCGTACAATACGGAAGTTGGGGCTGGGACCATGAATCCGTCAACATTTCTTCGGGTGCTAGGTCCAGAGCCTTGGAACATTGCCTATGTGGAACCTAGTGTGAGACCGGACGACAGTAGGTATGGCGAGAATCCTAACCGCGTGCAGCAACACACCCAGTTTCAGGTCATTCTCAAGCCGGAGCCTGGAAACCCTCAAGAGCTCTACCTAGATAGTCTTGCTGCTCTAGGGATAGACTCAAAGGAGCACGACATTCGGTTTGTCGAAGATAATTGGGAAAGTCCAGTGCTTGGAGCATGGGGCCTTGGCTGGGAGGTCTGGATGGATGGTATGGAGATCACTCAGTTCACCTACTTCCAGCAGGCAGGTAGCATGCCTGTGAAGCCTGTTGCTGTCGAAATTACGTATGGATTGGAGCGAATCTTGATGGCGCTCCAGGGCGTTGATCACTTCAAAAAGATTCAGTATGCAACTGGGATCACATATGGGGAAATCTTTCTAAACAATGAGAAAGAGATGAGTACATACAACCTTGATGTCGCTAGTGTGGAAAGAGTTCAGAAGCTCTTCGATATTTATGATGAAGAGGCCAAGGCAATGCTCCAAGCTAAGTTGCCGATCCCGGCCTACAATTACCTCTTAAAAACTTCTCATGTGTTCAACATTCTGGATGCTCGAGGTGCGATCGGGGTCACGGAGAGGGCGCGGTACTTTGGTAGGATGAGGAAGCTCGCTCGCCAATGCGCAGGGCTTTGGCTAGAGACACGTCAGGAGAGTTCTTTTCCTCTAGGAATTGCAGACGAACCAGCTCCTTCTGACCTATCGAAGGGTGTGGTAGATTCGACCGAAGAGGCGACACAGACGCAGAAGCGGATGTTCGTCTTAGAGATCGGCTCAGAGGAACTGCCTCCTCAAGATGTTACAAGTGCTGTTGAACAACTTGGGGCCTCTGTTCCAGAGCTCTTAAGCAAACTCCGACTGGAACATGACCATATTGTTGTGGAGGGCACACCGAGGCGACTGGTAGTCTTGGTCGACAACGTTGCAACGAAGCAATCCGATAGACTGGAGGAAGTCAGGGGTCCACCTCTGGAGAAGGCCCTTGGTTCCGACGGGAAGCCCACGAAGGCAGCAGAGGGGTTCTGCAAGAAAAATGGGGTAGAATGGAAAGACGTGACTGTCAAGGCAGATGCCAGGGGAGTAGAGTATGTGCATGCTGTAAGGAAAGAATCCGGAAGGCCTTCGATTGAGGTGTTGGCGCAAGAGCTTCCGCGGTTAATATCTCAGATATCTTTCCCCAAGACAATGAGATGGAGCACGGATGTCAGTTATAGTCGCCCATTGAGATGGATAGTGGCCCTTCACGGGGACAAGCTGATCCCTTTTACTTATGCCGGAGCAGTGAGTGGACGGATTTCTCGAGTTCTACGTAATTCCTCCAGCCCTACAATTCAGGTGGAAAAGGCTGAGGATTACAGAGCATGTATCGAAGAAGCAGGCATCACGCTCGGAATGAAGGAGCGTCGTGAGCACATTTGGAGGGAAGCCAACACACTTGTGGCATTGATAGGCGGGCGCATTCCAGAAAAGGCGAAGGCAGATCTTTTGGAAGAGGTCAAAAACTTGGTCGAATCTCCATCGCCAATACTGGGCAAGTTTGACGAAACGTTCTTAGAGCTCCCTCGTGAAGTTCTTGTGATGGTCATGCGAAAGCATCAAAGATATTTCCCTGTCGAGGATTCAAAGACGGGGCAACTGCTGCCTGCTTTTGTCACAGTGGCTAATGGGCAACTGAACGAATCGCTTGTCCGGAAGGGAAATGAGGCTGTGTTGAGAGCGCGGTATCAGGATGCGCGGTTCTTTTACGAGGCTGATCGATTACGCCCACTGGCATCATATAGGGATTCGCTGAGTGGGATCACATTCCAGGAGAAATTAGGAACGATGAAGGACAAAATGCAAAGAGTAGAAGAGATTGTTGCAAACGTGGGCGATGATGTCGGGATCCCGCCGGCCACCATGGAAACTGCGAAGCATGCAATGCAGATGGCGATGGCAGACCTTGCGACCTCAATGGTCGTTGAATTCACAGCTCTGGCAGGGATCATGGGACGTCACTATGCGTCGAAGGAAGGGCAACCCCCTGAGGTGGCTGAGGCCCTCTTTGAGATAAGGTTGCCAAGATTTGCTGGAGATACTTTGCCCAAGTCACCTGTTGGGATTCTGCTTGCCGTCGCAGACAGGTTGGATAGCGTCGTCGGCTTGTACGCCGTGGGCTGCGGAGCGTCGGCAACAGCTGACCCATTCAGTCTAAGGCGCAGCACGTACGGGCTGGTGCAGACTCTTGTGGAGAACAACTTGGACTGGAGCTTGAGGAAGTTGTTGAGGACTGCCGCAAAGGCACAGCCAGTTCACGTCAGTGATGAGACGGCTGACGAGGTTTGGACGTTCATTGTCAGACGATTGGAGCAGTTGTTGGTCGACAGAGCGTTCGATGTGGAGATCGTAAGGGCCATCCTGAGCGAGCAAGGAGACACACCAGCTCTTGCTGCTCAATCAGTTCAGCAGGTGGAGGAGAGTGCAAGGAACGGAGAGCTTGAGAAGGTGATTGCCGCATACGCGAGGCCGACAAGGATTGTTCGAGGAAAACAAATTGATGTCGAGTGGAAGGTTAATGATCAGCTTCTTGTTGAAGATGAAGAAAAACAGTTATGGACTGCCTACCAGCAAGTTTCAGCAAATCTTCATCCAGGCGTCAGTGCTGGCAAGTTCTTGAAAGAATCATTGGCATTGATTGATCCCGTCGACGCTTTCTTCGAGAATGTGTTTGTGATGGCGGAGGATGAAGCACTGCAACGAAATCGACTCGCACTACTTCAAGGCATAGCATCTCTTCCCCGAGGAGTCGTCAATTTCACCTTGCTTCCTGGGTTTTAAGCTCTCCTCCTGTATATATTTCCAAAGCCCGTTTCTGTTCAGAAGTCTAGGGGTGTTAAGGATTTTGGAAGGTTGTGGGAAGTCTGGAGGTCGTGAGGGCTCCAAGTCCAGGGATAGTTATGACGCCATGAGACGATTCGCTGAACAAAGATGGGCCAGCAGTCCTGTGAAGACTGTCAGATTCATGAACAAAGGTCCCTTGCACATCATCATTTGTAAATCTCTGATCACGAGTGATCGTTCCGTATATTTTTCCCATTGGTCTTTCATTTTCTGTCCTATCGGTTCTCTCTTCATGATTTCCTTATTGAAAAAAAGTAGGAGAGCTCCCTAATTGGATGGATGCGAGGGTGCTGGGAATGCAGTCTAAAGGGGGATGGTCTGGCATGTACGGGCAGTGGAGAAGTGGGACGGGGCCAATTTCAGCTTGTTGACTTGTGCGAATGTTTACTATGGTTGGAACAGGCTGCCACATGGGTGCTGGTAGCCTGAGCTGTGTTCTCAGGAAATCAGGTTTGCATGTCTTTGTCCTTTTTTTGGGCGTGCACATGACCATGTCTGTCTGTGGCAGGCGGGCAGGAGGAGCAATGCGTGGGCATGTTGTTGGGTGTGTTTGGCAGTATTTTTTTTTTTTTTTGGGTTTTGTAAAACTCTGTATGTCTTTCTGTATGTTGTTTCTCTCCCTCTCTGTCTGTGTCCCTAGTACTTCCATCCCCTCATCGGTTGTGACAAGGGAGTGAAATGGATTTTCAGAAAACGAACCTAAAAGAGAGAGGGGGCAGAGCCAAAGTCACGGCCATAGTAATAGTAACCTGAAAGGGAGAGCTTCCACTCACACAGAGAGAGAGAGAGAGAGAGAGAGAGAGAGAGAGAGAGAGAGAGAGAGAGAGAGAGAGAGNAGAGAGAGAGAGAGAGAGAGAGAGAGAGAGAGAGAGAGAGAGAGAGAGAGAGAGAGAGAGAGAGAGACATATATGTATATATTATCATAACGAATTGCCCGGTGAGGCTTAGGCAGAGAGGGAGAAGAGGACAAGTGAGGGGCTGTCACAGACTGTTTCCTCTGAGTTTCAACTTCATCCAGATGGCGAGCCTTGTATGTGACAGGCACAGTAAAGGGGTGACTACCTTCTTCCCCCGAATACAACGTACAATCATTATAGCTGCATTTGGGGCATCTTTCAGTCTAAATACAGCTATAATGACCGTACGTTGTATTCGGGAGAAGAAGGTAGAAGAAGGAATCATGAAAGAGGCAACAGTAAGGAAAGATAAGGAAGAACTGCATACGAAGAGGCAAAGAATGGTTTCAGTGTGCGCTACAGTTGTCTTGTGTATTTTTATCATTTGTTTCACAAAGTGTGCTCTTTTACTGGATGGATATGTGACAATACATAAGTATAATTTTTATGGAAACAGAACTGGCATCTCAATGGGTTGAAGTAAAAGATAAGCTGAAATTTCTCAACAAAAAGGTGGATATTAGAAAGGAGATTTCAGAATGCTGTGTGGAATGGCTGGGAGAGGAAAACAGGGGGGTTGGATAGCAACATTGGAGTGGGATGGTTGGAAGGTGATGAACCAGCAAGATCCTGACTCATTCAAGAGGGGGGACTATAAGCTGAGTTTTAATGGTTGAACGAAGATTGATGCCTTCTTCCCCCTACGAACCCTGTCTGATTTCCCGGACATGTTCCCCCCAGATGAGATCTCAACCAAAACCCCACAGTGGTTCGGGGCCAATTGATGATGGCGCTCTAGCTCTGCTGGTTTCATCTAATAACATGTTTCACATCTCGGGGGATGGAAGAACGGGAGACATCAGTCAGGACTCCTTCGCTGTCTCGAGAGTTCATATTGAGATTCATTGGCAGACAGATGTAAGGACCTGCCAAAACACGGACTGAGAACACAGCTGATTTCTGAGTTTTGCCACTGGAATGAACGCCTTGCTGAGATTCCCGTTTTTTGCTGAGTTTTCTAAGTCTGTGTGTGTGCGTGCGTGCTTGCTTGTCTGCGTGCCTGTCTGAGTGCTTGTCAGCCTGAGTGTTTGTTTGGCCCACCAGGGCACTTGCTTGTTTGGGAGGCCGGTAGGACCGGTACTTACCTGTGGCCGTGACTTTCACTCAAGTGGCCAACGGGGGTAGCTTAGGGCACACTAGAGTAGCGGTAGTGTAGGCTGTAGGTATTTGAGTAGCAGGTAGGCCGGTACCACTCAAGTAGCGGTAGATGTGTCGAGAACCAAAGGCCGAGCAGAAGAAGACAAAAAGTTGGTATTTTTAGAGGCCCAGTAGCGGTAGGCTAGGTCTAGGCAGGTACCAGTCCAAGTAGCCTGAGGCTAGGGCCTGCACGGACGATAGTCTGCAATGATGTTTCCCTCCGAAAGGGAGGAGGTATTTGCTTGGAGGCTGCACGGCCTGGAAGTCAGGTTGGCCGCTATATCTCCAGGAGGAGCAAAGAGCTCCTCGTTTTGCTGCATGCAAGTTTGGCATCCCGCTGCTCGAATGTGCAGCACTGTGGGAGGAGCGCCCAGCTCTCCACCTTGGCTATGGTGGAGGAGCTCGGGTAGGAGGAGGAGGAAGAAGGGGACTAGGAGATGGGAGCGCCAGGGGTACTTACCTGGCTATGGTGGACGCCATCTTCATCACCTTGGTGGGCGCTGCATCTGGAAGGCCCCCATTGGGATATAGTTGTATCAAGAAGCTTCAAGGCAGCATCAGGCATGGCGGCCTGAGAGGAAGAGGTCATAGCTGCTTTGCGTTGTCTTTTGCACGTCCGGGCAAAGCCCTTAGTAGTCCGCCATTGCCTGGGCCTGGATGAAGAAGAGAGAGGAGGGCGGCCGTGGCTATAGTGGACCGCTTGTTGTGCTGGCAGCAGAAGAGGGATTCAGACATTGGTTCTGGTTCAGCCATTCATCATTATCATTATTATTTATTGTTTGAATAAGAGAGGAGGAGTCCTTCGGGACATCCGTTAAAATTGGAACGATACAGAGAAGATTAGCATGGCCCCTGTGCAAGGATGACACGCATAAATGTAATCAGACTCGACTTATTCACACTTTTCATGCACATGAACAGCAGCACACAAACTGGCGACATGCGCCCACACAGTACACAGAGATATGACTTCCAGGTAAGTTCACTTCCACTGACTATGGCGACTGTGCGCCCAAACAACTCGCTGTCCACACACTGGATCACCCTGGATGTCCCACACTCGTCACCTTAAACACTCACGTAACACACACACACTGCACCCTATGCTACAGCTATGGCAGCTATGGCTGCCGCTAACCTATTGCTATGGTTATACTACTTCACTCTTGCCCACTTCGTCTTCGGGCCTCCTGCAGACCTCCTTGCACAAGACGCTGAGGCAGCGCTTCCGCATGGCTTCCGCACGAATGAATGAATGGCTGGACGCAGCCTCTTGATTTATACTTCTGTGCCTCGTTGGTCTGCCCTGTGTCCCCTGGCCCACGATGCACACAGTCCCAAAYGGTACTTGCTTGACTGGACCGAACTGGGTGGACTGGGACTGCTGACTGGACTAGGTGGACTTCCACCACTTGACCACTTGCCTCTGCCTAACATAGGCTGACTCCGAAAGGCCACTTCTAGAACTCTCTGTTTTGRCCTTTCGGTACTGTAGCAGCTACGACTTTGCCCTTTCAGGTAAGTAGCAGCTACGACCTTGACCCTTCGGTCAGTCTACAGCTACGACCTYTGGACTGTCTAGACTCCTACCCGATAGGTCTATAGTTCGAATCCCCTATACCCTGTAACCTACGAGACCCTACCTACCACTGGCGGTCCTACAGGTCGCAGGTTCAAGTCTACGGGTTGACACAGCTACTGTACACAGGTAAGGTGGGGAACTAGGGATCGAGCCTTGGGATCTGCATCAGCTACTGCGAACTGGTGAATACCGTTTCACTCCCGCCTGCCTAAATTCGAGGTCCTCCGAGAAAATTTCAGTCCAAGGCAGGACCTTTACCTTTCTGTTGTCTCTCGTAGGCCCGGACTATATCGGGAGCTGTCTCTAGGAGTTCAGATCTCGTAAACCAGCGGTCGTCCTCCGGCTCTTGATAACTAAAATGAACATTGTACTGTTTCTGTGGACGACCTCTACCTCCAGCTCTGAATACATCTTCAGCCACTATGCCATTGATGTCATACCTTCCATCCATGCCTGGTGGAATCATAGACCTACGGGACGGAAACTGATCACTTGTTTGACAAGGTAACAACTTCGATGCGTGGAAGACAGGGTAAGTGTGGAGGTGTGCTGGGAGTTCTATGGTATAGGACGGTCCATCTTCGCCGCCCTTGACTTCTAAAACGGGCCACGGTCCTCTATATGTGGGCAGTAACTTCTGCGAGATGTTCTCTTCAGGTGCAAACTCTTTAGAACTGACCCAGACTAAGTCGCCTACTTGAAATTGTGAGGGGCGACGATGTTTGTTGGCTTGTTCTATCATTCTGTGTTGGGCCTTCCTGAGGTTCTCTACAACAGTAGCTAGTTTTTTCTCGTGCTGTACAGCAAACTCCCTGGTCCCGGGCGGTAATCTGTGAATCTGATCCCGGTTGAGTCCCTCAAACGGTCTGCGCGGTCTAAAGGACTTATGCAGTTCGTTGGGAGTGCGGCAAGTGGACAGATGCACGCTGTTATTATACGCGCTAGCTACTTTAGGCAACATCTCATTCCAGTTAATCTGATCTGGCCTAATGTACATGTGCAGAACTTGCTGTAGGATCTTGTTCATCTGCTCTGTCTGGCCGTTAGTCTCAGGATGGCGGCCAGACGACATCAACAACTTAGATCCATACACTCCCATGAGTTCTTGCCAGTTCTGGCTGGTGAAGCGACTATCTCTATCGCTAACTATTGACAGTGGGATTCCCTTCTCACTAACCCAGTAGTCGGAAAACTTCTGTATGACTAAATCTGTACCTGCCTCTGACGTCAAGGGAACAAAAACTGCATATTTGCTAAAACGGTCAACTATGACCATGACTTGGCTCTTACCATACCTACTCTTGACTTGGGTGTCCATAAAGTCGATGGACACTGAGTCGCCCGGCTGATCTGGAATGGGCAAGGGTCTGAGAAGACCTAGCGGGGCGCGCGTTCTGGTCTTATTACGCTGGCAAACTTTACAACTGCGGACATACTCTACGCAGTCATTCTTCATCCCTGGCCACGTGTATGCGCGCATCAGATTGGCTAAAGTCTTTTGCCAACCAAAATGACCCTCTGTGTCATGGCATTCTCCCAAGATCAGACTACGGACCTCTTCACTATTGGGGATGCACAGGCGGCCAAATACATTAGTCTTCTCAAAGAGGAACCCTTCAGTAGTGCGGTAGTTCATCCCAGTCTTTGGGGCCTCCTTGACCCTCTTGAGGAGGTCACTATAGATAGGATCCTGCGCATAGGCTTCTCTAATTTTCTGCTGCAGGTCCTTCCCTATGTCTAGGTAATGCACTATTGCCCCAAAGTAATCAGCTCTCCTAATCGGAGCATCCGCAACTACGTTATACTTTCCCTTGACTGGCTTGAGCTCAAAGTCATACTGATCTATCTTTGCGGCCCACCTAGTAAGCTTAGGTGTCATCTTGGCCTGCGTCTTTAACCATCTCAACGTCTCATGATCGGAATAGACTTTGAAGTGCCTCCCAAGCAAGTAGTGCTTCCAATGTTCTAAGGCTTGCCTGAGAGCGTAGAGTTCCCTCTCATACGTAGATGTCGCGACCTTCTCTGAAGGCATTCTGGCGGACATGAACTCTACGGGCCTATAACCATGGCCATCGTCTTGCTGCAACACAACACCTATGCCGTACTGACTAGCGTCCGTAGTGACGACAAAGGGCAAGGACGGATCGGCTACCTTAAGGACTGGATATTCTATCAACGCCTGTTTCAATTTTTTCATAGCAGACGTGCAGTCCTTATCCCACTTCCAGATGGTTTCCTTCCTGAGCAATCTGCGAAGGGGCGCAGCGATGGTGGAGAAGTTCCTCACGAACTTCCTATAGTAGTTTGCTAGGCCTAAGAACGACCGCAACTCTGTCAACGTACGCGGTGTCGGCCAATCTCTAATCGCTGCAATCTTGCTGTCTTCGGGCTTGATGCCGTCTCCGTCTAAGACATGGCCTAAATACAAAACTTGGGTCTTCGCCCACTCGCACTTCTTTGCGTTGATCTTRAAGTTAGCTTCCCTCAGCTTCTCCAAGACCTGCCTRAGATGACCCTRATGCTCTYCGAGGGTCTTRCTAAACACTAAGATATCATCCAGATAAACTACGACAAACCTATCTAACCAAGGCCTAAACAGGTCATTCATACACCGCTGGAAAGTTGTTGGCGCATTGGTTAGTCCAAAGGGCATTACTATAAACTCATAATGCCCATATCTAGTCCGGAACACGGTCTTGTACTGATCATCAGGACGAACCTCTATCTGATGATACCCGGACTTCAAATCTATCTTAGAGAAATACTTGCACCCCTGCACTCTATCTAGGAGATCATCTATCCTAGGCAGTGGCTCAACATTCTTCACTGTAATAGCATTCATACCCCTATAGTCTATACACATCCTCAGCTCTCCCTCTTTCTTAGGGACAAAGAGAACAGGGGCTCCAAAAGGAGACGAACTGGGCCTAATCCAACCCTTTTCAAGGAGCTCGTCCAACTGCTTGCGAAGCTCTTCTAACTCCCGCGGGGACATCCTATACAGAACACCCTTAGGAGTTCTACTGCCAGGCTTTATCTCAATACGGTGCTGGATGGGCTGCGGCACTGTCCCTGTCGGCGGCTCAGCTAAGTCCTTAAACTCTTCCAGCAACTTGGCAGTAGCAGGGTCTATAGGCTTTTCTTCCTTAGGCTCAGTGACTAGCCTACCATAGGCTACAAAGACCTGTTCTTCTAGCTGCTCCCTTTTCACTAATCGTGCAAATGCAGGAGCACTAAGGCAGCAATGTGCCAAGGAGTCATCTACTCCTGACGCATGGTACAGACGCGCAGTCTTGACGTCGCCCGACGGGCTAGGGAGCCTACACTCATGCTCCCTCAAGTGGAGTGTAGCCCCGGCTGCCTCTCCCCAGTCCATACCCAGGACTATGTCGAATGGGAGGCTATCCTCTACGAGGAGAGTCAGGGAATGGAGAACTTTCTCTACTTTCCCATCTTTCTCTAGGCGGAAATACGCCTGGACTCCCTCTACGTAGTCTTCTACTCGCATCGTGCGATTATCCGCAAGGATACTGACTACAGGGTCTGCTAACTTTTTGACCTTTAACTGCAACTTCAGCTTCTGTAGCGCCTTCCTACTAATATAACTACGAGTGGCTCCACTATCCACTAAGGCGCCAACCCTACCTCTAAAAATCTCTGTATCTACCAATATAAGCTGCCCTTTATTCTCCTTTCTCATTTTGGCCCAGGCGGGCATCCTCTCCTTCAATTCTTCGGCCACGCCTGTGAGGGAGGTGTCTAGAGAAACCCTAACACAAGCAGTCTCTGGGCATCTATCTAGACACCGGCCTACAACCTCTGCCATAGGCACATGTGGTGTGGGAGTCTCCTGCCGGCTAGCGCTATTTTCCCCACATGGCCTGGGGGTAGGGGCAGTTGCTACCCCTACCGACGGCTGCCTTTTGGCTCTTGAGCAGTCGTTCGGGTCTCTCGATACTTAGGACAGTATTTGATGATATGGCCCGGGTCACCGCAGAAAATGCACTGACCCCGGTCCAATTGCTGTTGCCATAAGCTCTGGTCCAGACCCAAAGTTTCCCAAGGCCTACCCTGTGGTAGCCCTGGGTGCCATCCGCCTACCCTATAGGGAGACCTGTTCCTAGGACAGTTTTGCGGGGGACCTTGACCCCTTCCTCCCGCTTGGCGGTTTCCTCCTCTGCCGCCAACCCCCTGATCGCCCTGAAACCGGCTCCCTGAGGCCCGGCCCCCTTGGCCCTGGCCGCGTCCTCCTCCTTGCGGCCTCCCTCCAGCCGCGACAGCAGAGTAAGTTCTCCCCTGGCCCACACCGCTGTCCTCCTCCTCTAACCCCCACTCAATCTGGTCGTAGGGGATCTCATCCACACTACCCTCATCTAAAGTTAGGACAAGACTATCCTTAGTCTTCACTTGCCAGAGATAGTATGGCCTTTCCACTTCTTGCCTTTGTCCAAGTCCTTGTGCCAGAAAGTGGAAACTAACACGGACTTTGCCTCGAAGGCTACCACCTCACGGCTAAGGGAATCATAAGTGGTGGCAGGGTCTTCGCTCTTCGCGAAGAAGTGCCCTCGAAAGGCTTCGGGTATAGCCCGATAGAAGAGGGCAACCAACTGGGTGTCGGTGACCCCGTGGTCAGGTACAGCCACTAATTCATCCATTGTGCTCTTGAGTGCCCTGGCACTCTTCCACTGACAAGAGTGGATCGTCTGCAGCCTGTCTGAGGCTTTAACACTACGAGCGACATCAGCAAATCGCTCGTGCAGCAACTTCAGGAAGTCGATGAGGGGAGTGAACGACGAGTACGCAACTGCATCATCATTGCAGTTGGCAGCACGAACTAGGGACCTTGCGAAGCTGGCGGCCTCATCTCTAAGCGCGTGGATCGCAATTAGAACATGCTGATCCGGGGAGACTGTTGCAGATGCACATAGGTCTTGACATTGGCCTCCCAATTGTCAAAGTTCTCTTCCCTTTTTCCACTGTAGGAATCAGGGAATTTGACTTTGACCGGCTCCCTACGAGGACGTACTTCTTCCTCCTTGGGAGCTGCCACCTTGACGCCCTCAATGGCGTCGACTCAAAAGCGCTCCGTCTTCTCGAGGCGATGATTCACCTCGGCTCCTACAGCTCCTACCAATTCGCGAGCAAAGTCCCTGAATCCCATCCGCATCGAACGCACAGCTATATCCTGGCTTCGACTAAACTCATATTGCTGTTCTTGCACTCTGGCTAAGCGCTCGACGCTCTGGGCGATGATCTGTACCTTTTGCTGGAGGTCTACCTGGGTGGTCAACTGAGTAGTTAAAGTCCGTACCTCCGCCAATTCCTACATTGCTGCACTCGCCGCCTCCACTCTTCTTTTCTTCTCCCTCATCATTGCGAGCTTCGACACCATCCTCATCTCATCTTCCATCGCCTGCCGCTTCAGAACATCTTCTTCTGCTTCCCATTTCTTCACAGCGGCCTCTTGCTCATCCTTGGGGATATACATAGTTACCTCTTCTTCTTCGCCCAGAGATAAGTTGGCGACCCACTCCGAAATCCGCTTCTCCATTTCTTCATCCTTGCTGCCACTATGCTGCCCTCTCCTTCTTTCCAGTGGCGGTCCCTCTTCTTCTTCCTCTTCCACCTCTTTCAGCTTGTCCTCTTCTTCTTTCTTTATTATCTCCTTCTCTCTGGCCATCTCTTCCTCTATCTTCTTCAACTTGGCCGCCTGCTCCTCCTGTAGGGCCTTCTTCTTGGCCTCTTTCTTCTCCTTTCTCTCTCTCAGAATGACGGCCATCTTCTCCTCTTCCTCCTTCGTATATGGCCTAGTGGAGGTCCCACCCCGGGTGTCTACTCTACACGTAAAAGTGTGCCAGAACCCCAGGGGAAAGAGGAGACGCCACAGGGTCCCCCAATAGGAGAACCCAACGAGCAACCCATACATCGGATAGTCATCCATCGTGGTGTCAGGTGCACGACAAGAGTCCCACTCCTCACCACTTAGACCTACCCGGACACTGACCTACTGACTGACTCTCTAAGGTCACTACTCAAAACTACTCTAAGGCTGTCACTACAGAACCATCAGCTGATCTGGAGGCATTTAAGGAGATCCCCCAAACTCCGCAAGAATTCTTTAACGTCGCAGTCAGGACGACGTGATCAGCGTGGTTCTGCCTGTGCTTTCAACCCACACAACTCAGCCTTTCCGGCCTACTGTGCCACACCAAGCAGCCCGCCGGTCTGTACCGGTCCTTGGAGGGGTTCGTGTCCCCCGGGACAGTCGAGTCGTCAGACACAGATCATCAGCCTTACTAGGTCCGGTAGGGGGGTGGTTCAAACAGGCCCTCAATACTTAAAGACTGGCTGGTGTGTCAGCCTTAGCTGCCGTTCAGGCCCACTGAGTCCTACCAACCGTTTCCAGCCGGTCAGCACTGGTCCTTGGGAGGGTTATGCCCCCCTGGAAAGTTGGATCAGCCCCAGCCTCAGCCCTACAAAGTCAGACTAAGGTTTCGTCATCCAACCCTATCCTTCATCCACAGAGTCCTAACACCTAGGACAGAAGAGACTCAATGCAGAAAGGAAAGACAGACAGACTCAGACTCAGCAAGTACCATAGGGTGTGTACACATCCACAAGGTAAGGGGATAGGCTAAGGGCTCAGCGAGATATCACCAACTCCAGCTTGGTCAAAATCTTGGTCAGCAGCTCCGGTCAACGCCTTGGTCAACGCTGAGTCAACGCGAACAACTCTTGGTCAACGGTCAGTCGACCCCTTGGTCAACGCCTGGTCAACCCTCTGGTCAACGCTCGGTCAACCCTTCACCTCGGCTATGGCTGCCGGCACCTTCACCTTCGTCACTCGCGTCCCTTTCTTCCCCTTCCTTCACCTTCTTCTTCCTCACTGTCTTTCTTCTACTATATTATTTTTTATTTTTTTTTTGGTTCACCCCCGGCTATGTCTGTCTCCTTCTTCGATATCCTCCTTCCACACTTCTCTCTCTCTCCTCAGTCCCTCCTTCTCTGTCCTCCCTCTCTCTCTCCTTCGGTACCCTGTGTTGATGCTCCGCGGCTATGGCCGCTGCCTTCCTTCTCCACCGGGCTACGCAACTCGCCTCACAGGTAAGTGACAACCAATCTTGGATTGCTCATCTCTCTCTCTCTCTCTCTCTCTCTCTCTCTCTCTCTCTCT